GCGCAGCCGCGGCTTCTCGCTGCTCATCATGAAGAACGAGAACGTGACGTCGCTGGGGCTGCGCTCGCTGCGCGAGGTGAGCGCGGGGCGCGTCTACATCACGGAGAACCGCCGCCTGTGCTACCTGCACAGCGTGCACTGGGGCGCCCTGTCCCGCCGCCGCGCCGACCTCGACATCCGCAACAACAAGCCGCGCAGCAAGTGCCGTGAGTGCGGGGCGCGCGCCGTGGCCCCGGGCCCGTGGCCCCAGCCTGTGTCCCCAGCCTGTGTCCTGCTCCCCGTGTCCCCAGCCTGTGTCCTGGTCTCCGTGTCCCTATCCTGTGTCCTGCTCCCCGTGTCCCTATCCTGCGTCCTGGTCTCCGTGTTCCCATCCTGCGTCCTGGTCCCCGCATCCCCAGCCTACGTCCTGGTCCCCATGTCCCCAGCCTGTGTCCCCATCCCCGTGTCCCCGGCCCTGTGTCCCCAGCCCCGTGTCCCTGTCCCCATGTCCCCAGCCTGTGTCCTGCTCCCTGTGTCCCTATCCTGTGTCCTGCTCCCCGTGTCCCTATCCTGTGTTCTGGTCCCCGTGTCCCTATCCTGCGTCCTGGTCTCCGTGTTCCCATCCTGCATCCTGGTCCCCGTGTCCCCAGCCCCGTGTCCCTGGCCCCGTGTCCCCATCCTGCGTCCTGGTCCCCGCATCCCCAGCCTACGTCCTGGTCCCCATGTCCCCAGCCTGTGTCCTGCTCCCCGTGTCCCTATCCTGTGTCCTGTCCCATGTCCTCATGCTGCGTCCTGGTCCCTGTGTCCCCAGGCCCGTGTCCCCAACCTGTGTCCCCAGCCCTGTATCCTGGTCCCCATGTCCCCGGCCCCGTGTCCCCAGGCCCGTGTCCTCATCTTGCGTCCTGGTCCCAGTGTCCCCATCCCCGTGTCCCCAGCCTGTGTCCTGGTCCCCGTGTCCCTATCCTGTGTCCTGCCTTGTGTCCTCATCCTGCGTCCTGGTCCCCGTGTCCCTCGTGTCACCGTGGTGTCCCACGTGTCCCCCCGTGTCCCCGTCCCATGTCCCTCGTGTCACCGTAGCCCCGTGTCCCCGGCCCCGTGTCCCCATCCTGTGTCCTGTCCCCGCATCCCCAGCCTACGTCCTGGTCCCCATGTCCCCAGCCCTGTATCCTGGTCCCCATGTCCCCATCCTGCGTCCTGCCCCATGTCCCCAACTCATCCCTGTGTCCTGCCCCGTGTCCTCATCCCGTGTCCTGTCCCATGTCCTCATCCCTGTATCCTGTCCCGTGTCCCCATCCCCGCATCCTGTCCCCGTGTCCCCATCCTCACGTCCCGCTCCTTGCATCCCGCGCGCAGAGCAAGAGGGCCGGGTGTGCGACCCGCTGTGCTCCTCGGACGGCTGCTGGGGCCCCGGCCCCGGGCAGTGCCTGTCCTGCCGCCACTACCGCCGGCGCCAGCTCTGCGTGCCCGCCTGCCACTTCCTGCACGGGTACGGGAGCTGGTGACGGGAACCGGCGGGGATGGAGCCGGGGGG